ACCAGGAGCTTTCTCCGGGTCTCCCATGCAGTTGCAGGGCTTGGGCCATCTTCTACTGCTTTCTCAGGCCATAACAGAAAGCTGGATTGGAAGTGGAGCAGCCAGAACTCAAACCGGGGTCCATATGGGATGCTGGTGCTACAGGCCAGGGCTTTAACCCACTATGCCACAGTGCATAGTGTGGTTTTAATGATTCCAAATGTGCCAGATAAAAACACTAAACCAGTGATGTTTTCATTAGTATTTCCTTGACTATTATGAGCCTGAATTTTTGTCATATGCTTTTCGATCATTTTTCTTTGTGAGTTATTCATTCAAATCCTTAGTCTATTTTTATTATGGTTTTTTATTGATTTATAAGAGCTTTTTATGTATTAGCTTGTATCAACATCTTAATACATGTTATCTTATTTTTGCTAAAGACACTTCAAATATTTCTCATTTATTGTCATTTAACTCTGTTTATAGTATTTTTTATTTGTAGAAAGCCAAATGTATTAAATTCTTAGTCTAGATTTCCCATACTTCAATACATACATGTTTGTAGATAGACGTGTGAATTATTATTTTCTTTTTGACCTTTCATGGATTTTTATTTTCACTATGTGATGCTCTAATCTGCCTGTGATTTGCTGTGGTGTAAGGAATGAAAAGGAATGTGTTCTAGTCACTTTCAAAGCACAGCCCGAGGCAAATCTTGTGTGTTCAGGGTTTGTGAGGAAAAGGATCCCAAGGCAGGAGAGTGAGGGAAAAGGAGAGAGGAAGGAAGAGAATCAGGCAGTGCATCGTTCCAGGCTGGCCACAGCATCCTCAGAAAACACGGCTGTGGCCCAGTCCCACAGGATGTCAACAGAGCCGCCGTGGAAGCAAAGCACAAGTCCAATGGCAATGGCACAGAGGGGTTTAAGGAGTGACAAACTGAGCCAACAACTCCCTCCTTCTCAGTGCTTGGAGTCTGCACTCCTGGCAGGGCTGTTAAGAGTGTCTAAGGTCCATGGTCTCAGCGGGGCAGACCTGGCTGCTGGAACTGCTCTGGCTCCCACTGAGACAGACAAGAGCCATGGAGGTTGTGCCTGGGAGACTGAGTAGAACTATTAGGAGATGAGTGACAGCACCTGAGGCCCAGGGGGTGGGTGGAGCTCAGCAAATTCAATCCGGTGCTTCCACTGGGACTTGGAGGGCATGGGGCTTTAGTAGTAACCCAAGGTACTAGATCATCAATCCTTTTTTTACCAGTTTGAATTCCAATTTTACTATATTCAAGTTCTCAATTGTGCTAGGGTTTATTTCTGGTTCCATCTCTCTCTATGATGCACAAATGTATATTTCTAATAATGTTTACCTCTCTGGTGGTTCAATTTGCCATTCATTCATTTATTCAGTGTTTTCTTGGCTGTTTCCATAAGATCATGCATGTAGGTAAAGTCGTAATCATTTGAACCAGTTTTGTTAAAAAAAAAATTGGGGGGGGGGGTCGGTGCTGTGGCACAGCAGGTTAACGCCCTGGCCTGAAGCACCGACATCCCGTATGGAAGCCGGTTCCAGGCCCAGCTGCTCCACTTCCAATCCAGCTCTCTGCTGTGGCCTGGGAAAGCAGAAGATGGCCCAGATCCTTGGGCTCCTGCACCCTCGTGGGAGACCTGGAAGAAGCTCCTGGCTCCTGGCTCCTGGCTTCAGATCAACGCAGCTCTGGCCGTTGCAGCCAATTGGGGAGTGAACCATTGGAGAGAAGACCCCCCCCCCCCCCCCCGCCTCACCTCTCTGTATAACTCTTTCAAATAAATAAGTAAATAAATAAAAAATCTTAAAATAAATTTGAGACTTGGAAGTAAATCACATCAAATGAATATATGTCTTGAAGGATTATCAATTTGTTTATAATTTATCTTACCTATCATTCATACAACAGGGGATTTTATTTAAAATATTTTTAATATTCAGCTATCAGTTATTTGAAAGAGCAGCACACAAAGATACACAAAGAGAATAATCTTCCGTCTGCTGGTTTATTCTCCAAATGGCCACAACATCCACGTCTGGGCTCCATGGAAGCCCCCACCCCTGATGCCAACCCCAGTGCCAATTCTCTGCCTTTTTTTTTTTTTTTTTTTGGACAGGCAGAGTTATACAGTGAGAAAGAGACAGAGAGAAAGGTCTTCCTTCCATTGGTTCACCCCCCGCAAATGGCTGCTACGGCTGGTGTGCTTTGCCGATCTGAGGCCAGGAGCCAGGTGCCTCCTCCTGGTCTCCCATGCAGGTGCAGGGCCCAAGCACTTGGGTCATCCTCCACTGCCTTCCCAGGCCATAGCAGAGAGCTGGACTGGAAGAAGAGCAACCGGGACTAGAACTCGGTGCCCCAACTGGGACTAGAACCCAGGGTGCCGGCGCCTCAGGTGGAGGATTAGCCTAGTGAGCCACAGCGCCAGCCTCTCTGCTGTGTTTGTACCTGGTCAGGTCTTTCCTAATTCTCAAAGTTGCTGTTCTACCTCCTTATTAATTTCCTTATTCTGATCCTGATATTAACCCTGTTCTTTCAGCAAGTGAACTTGCCTCTTATTCCCATCCCTACATCTATGACTAATTCTCTCCAGTGTGCCCTTTCTTCTAGCTTCATGCAAAGAAACATCTACTCTTCACCTCATCTGTGATCTCTTTATAGTCAACGTGTTTACCTCTGCTGTCATTTCACTTCTCCCTCTTTGTCTTCTTATAAACCTTTTCATTTCTTGAAATCTTCTGGATTTTAAATTTCTCTAGCTCCTTACTACTTTCTCTTTCCCAGTCACAAATGTACAGAGCCAACAAGTTCTTTCCTCGTTCTTCTTCCTTTGGTTGCTCCATAAACGTTTGCACCTTTCTTATACCCCAGAGTTTTATTTTTGGTACTGTTTTATTTCATGACTCATCGAATGAGATTGCTTCTAGGTAATCTCATTCACTCCTTGTGGCCCATGTTCTGCTGACCCCAGTGTTTTCATTTCTAGTTCAAACCTCACTCTTCATTTACACACTGTGCACTGGATCGCCTCCTCTGAGGTTTCACCAGCATCCCAAAACAATATGTACAAAACCCCACTATCAAACCCCTCCCCCAGATTTGGTCTTTACCATTTCTTCCATTGCTGTGAGTAACGTAACTGTCTACCCAGTCTCTCAAGCCAAACTGGGAGTGTCCCCAGGCTCCTTCCTCCCCAGCATCCAGCCTCGTCTTTCTCCTTAAATTCTGCAACATTCTTCTCTCTCCTGTGCCCCTGCTGTTAACTCTGACCCTAATCTTTTCTCTTTGGAACTACTGGCATAACCTCTCTGCTCTGAATGTTTTTTCATGATCTAAGCTTTTTCTGACTCCAGGGCATTTCCATGTACTGCCGATTGCCCCCTGTCCTTAAAATACATGCCTGCTCTGATCTTGACCTTGTCAAACATTTCTGGACATAATCATCAATTGAGATCTTTTTTTTTTAAAGAAATAGTTTTAGTTAAATCTCTCGTGTGTTTAAAACCCCCTAACAGCCCTCCATTGCCCTTGATATAAATTTCAATCCCTTTGCATGGCATAGAGATTATCTTCTCTAGTCCTTTCTGTCACCAAGATTCACACCCTATCTGCTCATCACAGAAAAGTTCTTACGTGTCCACTCCTCTGTCGTTCACATTGCTATTCCATGTCATTATGGGCAATATGTTCACTCAACTTTTTATCACCTGTAATGCTTCTACCACCTCCTCCCGTCTAACTGTCCAGCAAATCAGTGTTTGTTTGAAATGATCTTAAAAATCATGTAATCTTTTCCTTGCCAGCTCCTACTCTGAACTGATAATTTTCTTTTTTGTACTCCCATGTAGACCTATACCATAGTACCTTTAATGAACGTAATTATTTTTAGAACTATTTGTCTCTCCATAATAATGGATAGGCTAGATATTTCTTCATCAAAAAAATCATTTTAAAGTACTGTGATAAACATTAGGGACACAACTGTTGATGATGGAACCATTGCTTGCAAGAAGCATACACAGAGAAAGGTACAGAGACAAATATGCACAGGTAATGCAACAAATACCAGATAGCCTTTTTCACCTCCTATTCATCTTAGGGGCATTGAGAAAAGACATTTAGTTCTGTGAGCCTCATACTGTGCCTGACATGTTCCCTCAGTAAAGGTTTATAGTTTTGGAGGGCCTCAGTTGGGAAGGAGAGAGGTGGTGAACAACCAGTTCATACAATAACCAAAGGAGGCTCCCTACTGTCTTAGCCCATTTTCCCATCAATATGTACCTTCATATTCACTGAATGTTGCACTGGAACCATTGCATCTGAAAGCCCAAGGAACACAAGGCAGTTGCCAAAGAGGGTATCTTTGGCATGCTCTACCACCAAATTTGCAGAAGTTCTTGTTGCTTCTGCCTCTGCCTGGAACTCCAATCCCTTGGTGGAACTTGCAGCCAGTAGGTGCGTGGCAAGAAATAACAGTCTACCCACAGCCTTTGGCCACACGGTAGAGCCCAATGTGGTGACTACATCCCTCTTCCATTCCTCTCAGAATCTCACATCCATCAAAACTCAATGAAGCCCACATGATTCATGATCTTCTGTAGTCCGTGAGCACCTGGGGAGTTTATAAGCAGGGAAATCTGTGTTGGAATCTCAGTTTCACTGCTTACAAAGTATAACAATCACCCAGTCCTCAACCTTTTTGAACTGCAAATGCTTCATCTGTAAAAAAAAAAAAAAAAAAAAAAAAAAAAAAAAGATAAAATTTTCTTAAACAATAATCTGATTGAAAATGCCACAGGGCCAGTGCTGAGGCACAGCGAGTTAAAGCCCCAGCCTGCCAGCCTGCAGTGCCGGCATCCCATATGGGTGTCAGTTTGAGTCCTGGCTGCTCCACTTCTGATCCAGCTCTCTGCTAAGGCCTGAGAAAGCAGCAGAGGATGGCCCAAGCGCTTGGGCCCCTACACTCACATGGGAGATCTGGAAAAAGCTCCTGTTTCCTTACTTCAGATCAGCTCAGCTCCGGCCATTGCAGCCATTTGGGGAGTGAATCAGCGGATGGAAGACTTCTCTCTTTCTCTCTGTCTTCCTCTCTTTGTAACTCTGTCAAATAAATAAAAATAAATCTTTAAAAAGAGCTTAAAAATAAAATGTCTTATTAAGCATCTACTACATGACAATCAGAGCTCCCTTTCACTGAGAGCTGCCCCAAGAAGAAATGATTCCCTTTCATGGATCTGGTTTTTGGCATGTTTTCTCTTGTGGTTGCCTTCAGCCATATGGCCATATCTATGACTACTTCTACTTTTGCATCTCCTTGGCTTACCACTTCAACATACATCTATTAACTAGAAAATTAAATGTGGTTGTAATTACCCACCATCACTGGCCATCCTCCCAACCCACCTGGGCAACAAGGCTCCAGGCTGGGCTGACCCTGGCACTGGCTGGTCTGGAGCTGGCTGTGACTGGTTTCCCTTCTGATGGTCTGACTTCCAGTCTCAGGAACAGCGCACATTGCTCTAAATTGGTCACTCCACATGCTCTACTCAAGAGTCCACTCAGTCTTTCCCTGCCTCTCTTCCTCACCACAAATGACTCTGGTCAGTTCAAATACAGCACTGTTATTGAGAAAGGGGGGAGAAAAAATGGTTTCTCCCTATGGTCTTTTATTAAAAATGACTCACATCTCAGTTTGTAAGGTGAGGCAAAGAACAAAGAAAGATGACAGTGTGGGAAAATACAGGAGATACTGAAAACAATCAACAGGACAGGACAGCAGATGTAGCCCATTTTAGTCCAAGACTCCCCTCCCCCACCTCAAACACAAGTAGAACATTATAATTTATTTCCTCTAGTAGGCGAGAGAATTGCCACCTCCAGAAGGAACTGGATTCTCCATTCATCTCTGAGAATCTAGCAATTGGCCAATTTTTTGGACAATTCTTAACAAATCATTTAACTAATTTCCTTATAAGTTCTTTATCAAGAAACTAAATTCCTAAAATGTTCCTCCTCACTAGAAAAATCCCCTGACTCTGTCATCTGCTTTAAGCCACAGACTTACTCTACAGAAGTTTATTTTCTCACAGTCTGGAGGATCCAAGTCCAAAATTAAGGTTCTGGTCAACTCAGTTTCCTAGCTGGCAGCCAACCACCTTCATACTGTGGGTTCACATGGTGATTTGGGGTCTCCTCTTGTTAGGATGCCAATCCTTTCAGGGATACAGCTTAGGACTTTATTTCACATTAATTACTTCCTTACTTCAAACAGGCCACCTTGGATTTTAGGGCTTCCACACAAGGTGGAAGTCCATAGCACCTTTGGAAAGACAAAGTCAAAGGGACAGAATCACAGCAGGTGCATATTTAAGTCAATTACCCAGTGTCAGACATCAACTATGAAAAAGACTTAGCAAGTTGGATCATCCATCACCACTGCTTCTGTCACTGGGAGAGCTTTTGACAACACCTTCTCTTGTATTTCAAAGCACTTCGGGAGAGTTCAAAGAACTCTTGTAGATTGACTCTGACTGTATAACCTTGGTCCCTGACACTGCTGAGAACCCTCATTATAGAGGAGGTGTGCTTCTTCTGCCTACCATGTATCCCTCTCTCCTGACTGGAACAGCTAATAACCTCTTCATGCACCTAGCATCTGGTCATTTGCTCTCTGTTCTCCAGGGGTCCTGGGTGTGCCATGCTTCTTGCTCTCAGGCTGAAAACTCCCCTTTCATCTTTTGCAACACTTCTAGATGTGGGAGCCCGTCCTATTCCTCTGTGCAGTGCTATCCAAGAGCTGGCTACCTAGTCCACTGCGAACCAGCACTCCCTGGCCTCTCTGTGAAACGCATGCACAGCCAGCTTCCCTTGTCCTGCTGACAGCCTTGCCATGTCTCTGTGCGCTCTGCCATGCAGGCACTGCTTGCGTTGAAGAGGGTGTCTCCGTCTTGGGATTTCCCACACCCGTAGTTTCCCCACAGTGCAAGCTCCTCATCTTCTCCAGGCCTCCTGTCTGCCAGGGCAGAGGCCCGCAGGGAGCTGACAAAACCCCAGACACTGAGCCATGATGGGATGAGGAGAGTCTGGCTGCCCTTCACTTCCTGTCCCAAGCTTAAGGGACCAGACAGTCGGGGCTTTCCCTTTGGTCCTGGAGTGGAGTCACCCACAGGGAAAACCATGTCATCAGCACTTTTTGACTGTAATTCCATGAACCCTTCACATACATACACACACACACACACACACACACACACAGGATGATAAAAAATATGCTTAAAATATGGTAGTGATAAGGTGAAAAGTCACTGTTGGATACTTCTCTGAGAAGATCACTTAGTAAAACAGCAGGAAGAATAAAGAGCAAAATATGAAAGTATGGGACCATATAATGGAGAGGAGCTCTTGTTCTTCTCCTTGGTGTCTCCACAGTATGCATACACACACAGAGTGTCTGCTCATAGCAGCAAAATAGCTTCATATTGTCCCCTCCTTCTCTCCTCCTTTCCCTTCTACTCTTGCTTCACTGTCTCTCTCTATTCCTTCTTTTGTGCCTTCCTCCCTCCCTCCCTCCCTCCATTCTTCCCTTCTTCCCTCCCTCCCTGGCCATCAGATGAATGAGCCAAATAATGCAACAAACCAGAGAACCATCTCTTTATCTCAGTACTGCTCTCTGTAGATGGCTGGGATGCTTACTACCAGTGCACACTTCTTATCTTGAACAGTTTCCCTCACACTTTCCCAGTAACTGTCCCAATAACTAGGAGGGAAGTGTGGTCCAGGCAGCACGTGGGCCCCAGCCTGGCTCTGCTCAGAAATATTTCCATAGCACATCGTCTACCTTCTCGTTAACATACATCACCGTCAGCTCTACTGTTCACCCATGAACAAGTCATTGGTCTCTCAAAGGTTCAGAAAAATGGACAGTAGCTTCTAATCTCAAATAGGGTAGGAACTCTTGGTCAAAAGCTCATTTCTTGTCAGCTTTAACATACAGGCTCTAAGAGCAATTACTCTTACACCCCTCAGAAATAAAAATTCCTCACATCTGCCAAGTTCTGCACATTCACAGAGCACTTTAACATTAGTTATTCCATTTAGTATCTCAACCACCATGGGCATTAGGTAAGACGCATGTATAAAGAATGATAATCATAGCAACAACTTTTATTGAGAGCTTACTTTGTGCCATTGGCCATGCCACATGCTTTGTATGGATTATCTCGGATTGTCTTCATCTGTTTTCCACTTCTGTGACTGAATAACACAGACTGAGTAAGTCATACATAAAGATTTGTTCAGCTCATGATTCTGAAGGTCTAAGGTTGAGTGGCCACATCTAGTGTGAGCCTGCTGGTTGATGAGGACTGTGCAGAATTCCAAGGCAGCACAGAGCATCACATGGCAAGCTAATTCAGGTCTCTCTTGTTATAAAGCCATTACTGCAACCATGGGAATCCACCCCTAATGATCTTATCTAGTCCTAATTACTTCTCAAAGGTCTCACCTCCAAATACCATTATTATTATTATTATTATTATTATTATTTTGACAGGCAGAGTGGACAGTGAGAGAGAGAGAGAGAGAGAAAGGTCTTCCTTTTTGCCATTGGTTCACCCTCCAATGGCCACTGCGGCCAGTGCGCTGCGGCCGGCGCACCGCACTGATCCAAAGCCAGGAGCCAGGTGCTTCTCCTGGTCTCCCATGCGGGTGCAGGGCCCAAGGACTTGGGCAATCCTCCACTGCACTCCCAGGCCATAGCAGAGAGCTGACCTGGAAGAGGGGCAACCAGGACAGAATCTGGCACCCCGACCGGGACTAGAACCCGGTGTGCCAGCGCCGCAAGGCAGAGGATTAGCCTAGTGAGTCGCGGCACCAGCCTCCATTATTATATGACTTGGGGGAATTAAACTTCCAACACATGGATTCTGGGGGACACGTCCAACCCATAGTGTGATTATCATAACAGCTCTACAGTAATTCCTGGTGGCAGATGAGAAAACGGAAGTACAGAGAGATTAGATGATTTGTGCCCATATTACAGATGAGAGCTCCAGTAATTGATCCCAGCAAATGAAATTTTCAAGTCTAGAATGAAGCTCTCCAAGGCTCTGTCTAAGGCACTATGCTGTTTTTCACATTTCCCAGTTACCTGATGGTCTTGGACCATTCAGTGCAGCTTTCAGATGTCACCATCCCAACCTAAAAGAGGTCAGGCACAGTGGTCAGTCAACTGTGCCCACAGGTCAGTGTCTGAACAGACACAAAGCCATCTCACCAAAGGCAAACAGAGAATCCCCACTGGAAATGACTAACAGGGATTCTTTGCTTCTGAGGCAAGAGCTGGAATCTATAACTAGTTAGCACCAGTTCCACTGGCGTGCTCTGTCTACAGAATGCAGACTATGGCATTTGGCAATGGCTCTTAAATTTGGCACACGCCACACTCCTCTGGACCTATGAGATAACATAACCAAATGTTTTCTGATGCTGTAAGAAATGAGTATTTTGCAGGTAGCAGGAAATGCAAACATCCCCACTACAGGAGACTCACTCCATCCAATCCCAAGGGCAAAATGGCTCACACCCTCTTGACCCTTCTAAAGGTTAAATGTGAGCAAGGGCCTAGATAAATGGTCACAATGCAAACAAAATCATGTAAATAAATGCATCTCTGATCTGTGCAGGCTGGTGATGCCAAATATACCATCTGCACCATTTCTCATGATGAGCTGACTTTTTTTCCCTGTGTGTCCCAAGCAGTGAGAAGACGGCCTCATTTATGCAGACCAAGGCTTGCATCTCTTGGAAATTATTTTTAAAATTTCATACCCACAGATGATCAGTGACATTTTTGTCTTTTTCCAGGTTAGGCTGCAGTCAGAAGAAAGAGAGAAATCCCACTAGAAAGTAGCAGGGGAGGTGTTGAGGCCTGAGAGAGTGCTTGCAGTGTATTGTGATTTTGAGTGGGTCCTGTTGTATCTGTAATCTAAGCACCCTCACTTTGTCTGTTTGTTCATAGTCACTTAGAAAAAGTATTGTTGACATCTACTTATGTTGGGTATTACCATTGCAAAGATGAGTAAAATATGCTACCTGCTTTG